ACCCTGCTCCCAGCCTGGTCACCAGGCTCTAACTGTGCTCCCCAGATCCGAAAACCTTACACCCCAACTCCTGGCCCAGTGTCCTCAGATGCCAGCCCTGTGCATCCCCTCACCCCCAGGGACACCTCTCGGCCCGCCCCTGCACCCTAACATTTACCATCTGCCTCCCTGACCCCAGGCCTGTCTTCCTCCCATGGCTTTCACTGGGGCTGGGGGGAACCCCGCGAGGCACCCCTGGGGCTGGGCAGCTTTGGGGGGAGTCCCCTGAGGAAACAGGTGTGATGGGGGTACGCCCAGGAAGTGTGGGGTGGTAGCTAGGTGCATCTTCCAAGCTGGCTTTGAAGGCAGGCCTGTGTCCTGTTTGACGTAGAGGGGCTTCCCGGGGACCCCTCAGAGGCCGCTGGAGGATGGGGTGCCTGCCCCCCAAAATGACCAACGGTAAAAGCGCCTCCTTGCCTGGGGGCCTCCCAGCCCCCTGCAGGCTTCCTAGGAGAGTGCTGCTGGGGCCTGCAGAGCTCAGCCAGGAAGTAGGGCGTGGGCGGGCAAGCAGGCCCTCACCCTCCCGCACCCTCACCCGCACCCGCAGGGCTCCTCCCACCTCCCCCAGCAGCTCAAGTTCACCACCTCCGACTCCTGCGACCGGATCAAAGATGAATTCCAGCTGCTGCAAGCCCAGTACCACAGGTGAGCCCGCGCCAGGAAGGCCGCACCCCCAGAATGTAGGGGTTATCTGTGGTCTGGAGAAAGGCTGGGAGGGGGTGGAGGCTTGAGGGTCAGCAGTTCAAGGTCATCTTCAACTACTTAGCAAGTTAGAGGCCAGCCTGGGATACATACCACCCTGAGTCCAAAACCAAACCAGCAGCCCCGTAGTGTGGAGGGGGAAACCGAGGCACACAGTGTGTGTTGCTTCAGAAGCCGGGTCCCCAGAGAGCGTGATGCTCTCATTTTAACACAGGCTGCAGTGGGTGTCCAGAGAGGGTTATTAATCAGCCAAGGTCCACACAGCCCCTCCTTCTCTTTCTGTCCACTTATGGAGTGGGGGAGCTTGCTGGTGTCCCACAGACCATCCAACTGACGGGCTCCCACAAACTGTTTTCCTGTTTCTCATGTGTGAAACTAATCACTCTGAAGCCCAGAGAGCTCAGCCATTTCCGAGGGCTGCACAGCACAGAAGCAGCCTGAAGTAGGGGACTGGGGAAAGCGTGGCCTGGGGTCCCCATTTGACCCTGTACTCCCAACAGTGAGTGAGCATGGGGGTGCGGCCCAACACTCAGTTCTCAGACACACAGGAGGAGGATGGAGGCGTTTTGGGCTAGCCTGAGGTACAGAGCAAACCTATGTCTCAGAAAACAAATAGTAATAATAGTAATAGTCTTTGAAAGATACTCAGAGTTCTCCAAGAAAAAGGAAATCTTGGGTTTGTGATTTTTTTTTAATTTATTATTTTTACTTTTTGGTATTTATTTTGAGACAGGGTCTCATGTAGTCCAGGCTTCCTCCAGCTCCCTTTGTAGCCAAGGATGACCTTGAGCTGCTAACAGTAGATGACAGTCAAGAAGGGGCCCAGTGGAGCTTCATGTGCTAGGTCAGTGGAAGCTACCTACCAGGCCACAGCCCCAGCATTTGTCATTTTAGAGAGGGCACAGGTGTGCCCCCCCCCATGGTCTCCCACTCGGGTCCGTGGCCCCGCCCTCCTCAGGGATGCCTTCTCTGAGCCCGGGCCTGAGTTCCTGGCTGGGGGAAGTCGAACTCGGGAACAGCATCCACACTGAGAATAAGTTCCCTGGAGATACTTTTTATCATTTTCCTCCTTTGCCTTGGTGCTTATGGCTGAGCCACGTCCAACCCAGAGTTACTTGTGGTGTGTGTGTGTGTGTGTGTGTGTGTGTGTGTGTGTGTGTGTCCACCTTGTCGCAGGACTGCCTCCCGACCGAGTTTCCCCAGGTAACACAAGCCCTGGCATCCCGAGTCTGGAGCTGGGATTCGAACTCTGGGGCTTGTGTTTGAGCCGAAGTCGCTTGAGCAGCTGAGCCCTGGTGGTTCCCATTCACCTTGATACTCAGTTTGTGAGAACAGGGTCGGCTGTGCAAGCAGGCTAAACTAGCCAGGGTGGGATCCTGGTCCAGTAACAGTCTGAGATGCCTGCAGCTGCTTTTTATTTATTTATTTATTTATTTATTTTCTTCCTTTTATTTGTTTTTGGTTTTGTTGTTGTTTTGGTTTGGTTTGGTTTTTAGAAACAGGGTTTCTCTGTGTATCCCTGGCTGGCCTCAAACTCACAGAGATCTGCTTGCCTCTGCCTCTGAATGCAGGGATTTTTATTTTTTAGATAGGGTAGAACTCATGGTTATCCTCCTGTTTCACACTCCCATGTTCTAAAATGTTTTTGTTTCTGTTTTTTTGCTTGTTTGTTTTCTGGATTTAAGAAGAAATATTTCTTACTGCTTTTATGGGGGGGGGGCATGCCACAATGCAGTGTGAAGTTCAGAGAACAGCTTTGGGGGTCCTCTCTTCCCTTCCTCCTCATGGGTTTCCAGGCCTGGTGGCCTCAGGGCCTGTGTTAGGGAGCCAAAGACCCTTTGACAATGCTGACTCCTTACCACCACTTCAAAGAAGAAGAAGCAACTGGGGCCCAGAGGTAGAGCAGCTGGCTTAGAATCACAGCATGAGATACCACTAGGGAACACATCAGGGCTCGCTGTGAAGAAGGTTCCTGACACCAGGACCCTTTGGGGGCCTGTCCCGCTCTGTCACCCTTAGCCCTGGGCTGCCTCAGTCTAACTAACATCTGTCTCTGTGTGGAGAATTCCCAGGTTTGAGTCTTTGGTTACTGCAGGCTGTGTGACCTTAAACTGCTCACTCACCCTGTCTGGTGCTCACTGAGTCACATGTTAAGATGGAGGGTGAGTTCTGCAGGCCTCATCAGTTGCTCACAAAGGCACCTCTGCCTCAGAGGTTGTTACATCATTGAGAATGCTGTCATAATTTCACCGTGGGGGACATTGAGGCAACCCTGCCTACCTGCCCAGGATTGCAGAAAGCCCAGGGGTGTCCTTAAATGCAGCCATTTGTGGTGTCTGGCCACTCTCAGTCAGCATCTCTAGGCTGGCCACCTACCAAGCAGGAGGCTGAGGTCAGAGGATCAGGAGTTCAGGGTCATCCTTAGTTCCTCAGTGAGTAGAAAGCTAGCCTGGACTACATAAGACCCTGTCTCAAAAACACAAACCAAAAAGGTTTTAGCTTGACCCACCAGAAGGCGGGCCAGGGGGCCTCAGCTTCCCTTGTGTGTCCTCAGCCTGAAGCTGGAGTGCGACAAGCTGGCCAGTGAGAAATCAGAGATGCAGCGGCATTACGTCATGGTAAAGTTCCCCTGGGGACCCGGGGCTGGGGTGGGTGACCCCAGACTCCCCACAGCCAAGGGTGGCCTGGCTGCCAGCCCAGGTAGTGGCCTAGGTGCCAAACCACTGGCTCGCATCCTGGGCCTGCCAGGACCCTGCTGTCCTTGGCTGCAGGAGGAGGAGGCGGCTATGGAAGCCAGCCACATTCAGCCAGCCATCCGGAAGGAAGCAAGGGGGAAGCCACCTCCAGTCCTCCTCCCTCCAGGCCATCCGGCTAGGCATTCCTTAACCCTTCCATGACCAGAGCCCTCCCAACCGTCACAGGACCTGTAATTCCATGCAGGGGAGGTTGTTGGGGGTCTTAGGGCATTCTGGCAGGGGTCTTGAAGAACAAATAGTAGCTCACTGGATGGGGGTGCACAGGAATGCTGGGATACGCAGAGAGAGTCAGGCCAGCCAGAAGGCCACACCTCTTTGATCCATGACACACCTTCTCTCCACCCACAGTACTACGAGATGTCTTATGGATTGAACATTGAGATGCATAAACAGGTGAGCCTCAGTTTCCCTCCTCCAACACCTCGCGCCCTGTGACTCATTACGGAAAATTAAGGCCACTCCTGTTAGCCCCAGAGGTATTCCCACATATGCCTTAGCCCTTTTTGGTGGGCCACAGTGGCCCACAGGCATGGCCTTAGCCCCTGTCCCCATCCCCTCCAAGTGTCCCCCCAGGTACTGAGGGAAATCATGTGTGTTCCAGGCTGAAATCGTGAAGAGGCTGAATGGGATTTGCGCCCAGGTTCTGCCCTATTTGTCACAGGAGGTAAGCGAGCCACCAGCAGGGGGCCTTGGGGTTCCATCTGCCCCTTGCTGGGTGCCCCCAGGGCACAAGTCTGCCTGCCTTCTCTGAACTCATCAAAGAGAAGCTGCCGCAGCAGGACAGGCTTACTTACATCAAGGCATAAAGGGGAACCCCTGTGGGTGGGGTCAGATGATGGGGACCCAGGTGGGCAGGTGGCTCCTGCAGACTAGCTTTCAGAGGAAATCCCCCAAGCTGGATTCCTAGCCCTGCCTATCCCAGGCCCCACCCCCACTCCATCATCCTCCCACTGTCCCCTGAGTCCCTAGGACAGGACTTCCCTGTCATTACAGCAGTTGCCCGCTGCACAGAAGCCCCCCCCCCAATTTCTTTTCATCAATCCCACTTGATTGTCCCTTTGCCTGAGGGAACAGTCACTAAGCCCCCTCTGTCTCCTCCCCTTGCTTATTACAGCATCAGCAGCAGGTCCTGGGAGCCATCGAGAGAGCCAAGCAGGTCACGGCTCCCGAGCTAAACTCCATCATCCGAGTAAGTTGGAGCCCTGGGTGAGCATGGGATAGGTGACCCCCGGTGGGTTAATAACAGGAGATGCGGCACCCAGGTGGGCCCTGGGCTGACCCTGCCCCCCCTCCCCCATCCTGCAGCAGCAGCTCCAGGCTCACCAGTTGTCCCAGCTTCAGGCCCTGGCTCTGCCCTTGACACCGCTTCCCGTGGGGCTCCAGCCGCCATCGCTCCCTGCGGTCAGCGCGGGCACCGGCCTGCTGTCACTGTCAGCGCTGGGCTCTCAAACCCACCTCTCTAAGGAGGACAAGAACGGACACGATGGGGACACTCACCAGGAGGATGATGGCGAGAAGTCGGACTAGCTCCTGGGGAGGAGGACACAGGGGAGACAGGCACAGATAGGTCACGGTGTTCCGAGGGCCACACAGCACACAGCTCGGTCACTACCCAAGTTTCCACCCCCAGTCCTGGTTCCGGCCTTCTTGCTGTGCACCCCGGGTCTAGGGGACTCCAGAGAGGTACCCCAGGCTACAGGGAGCCGCAAGAAATCCCCCACCTCCACATTTACCCGGGCCACAGCCACCAATCTTGGCCCAGAATGTACACAACGCAACGCTAGCTGCCCCTTTCCACCCTGCACACCCAGAGTCTGGTCCTGACCCCTTCTCTCTCTGCTTCCCGCACTGCACACCTGCTAGGCCCAGACAACCCCCCCCCCAATCACCCAGCCTGGTCCCCTTGCCCACGAAAGAAGGGGACAGAGAGGAAGTGACTCGAAGGCACGGGGACTGCAGTGGGGGTGGGCACCCAAAAACTTCCTTTCTCCCCTTCCCCAAATAAACGTGAGGGTTCTGAAGTTGGTTTGTTTATTGTTCCTTTTTGCCCTGGTATTATATAGCTTGTCTTCTAAGAAAGGGGATTTAAAAAAAAAAAAAAGACCGAAGCCCCACGCGTGTCTGTGTATATAGTTAGCTTTGGTGCGTAGTCTTGGTCTCCCCGAGAGAAGGGAGATTGCTGTACTGAGGCTGGGGTCTAGCTGTGCCTTTGAAATAAAAACATGAAAAGGTTGGCCACTGTGTCCCTGCCTCTGTCTTGTGGGGTGGGGACCCCTTTCCTCAGGACGCCCCCGTCCCAAGACAAAGATCCCTCAAGCAAGGGCCCAGAGGGTGAACTATGGACATGGGGGGCACACAATACAGCTGTGAGCAGAGGTGGCTGTGGCACCCACAGAGAGTCACTAAACCCTGCTTACCCTCCCAGAGATGGCCTGAGTGCTTCCTGTATCTCTTCCAAGCTAGGCTGTCTCTGGGGAGGCCCTGGCACACATCTCCACTTGTTTTAATTTTTTTTGCATTTACTGGTTTGTTGCCTCTGTGTTGATCAGTCAGATGCCTTGCAGACACCTTGCAGGTGTCTCTTCCACCATGTGGGCCTGGGAATTGAACTTAGGGTATTGAACTTCACTGTAATCACCTCTACTGGTGGGGCCATCTTATGGCTCTGTTTTTGTTGCTTATTTTTTGAGACATGGTCTCTCTGAGTAGCCTAGGCTGGCCTGGAACTCCTCAAAGAGATCCTCCTCTCTCTGCCACTGCCCCAGACTGCCGGTGTGTTCTGAGGCCTGGAGTTTGCTCAGGACTTTGGGGTGTTGTGTCCACTTGGGTTCTTCAGCCAGAGTCCAAGGGTCTAGGGTGACCAAGGTTTCTCCTATCTCTGCTCCTGGGAAACCAGTCAGAGAAGGCTGGGTGAGACGGTACTGTCCCCTTTGCCCCCAAGGCTCCTTGGGGGAGGGAATTCTGCCAGCAGCTGGGCTGGGGATGGGGGGACTCCAGGGAGAGCACAGAGCCAGCCTGACCTTGGGTAATTGATCTGCTGATGGTCTAGTTGCCTGATTAAGGGGGGCACTACATGGGATGGGGGGTGGGATGATGGAGGGGGTACGGGATAGGGAAGGGGGATATTCACAGCTCCTCATGCCTAGTGAGGCCTGGTGACCCCCCCACCCCCCCGGAGGTGCTTTCCCTGCTGGCTCGTGGAGTCCCCCAGGAGACTTAAACTCTTTGTCTCTGTGTCCCCACCTACTCTGTGTTCTGGGGTCAGTCTGTGGCTAGGGGACTCTAGGCATGGTGGGGCCCCACCCCAGGGCCAGGCCACTCCCCAGGAGGCCCCAGTCCCTAAGGCTCCATTGGAGGCTGAGGGCCCAGGTAGGGTCCCACATGACCACACCCTGTATCCAGAAAGGAGTGGGTGCCCAGGCAGCCACTGTCCCTCCACCTGGCCTGAGAGGCTGCACCCTAAGATCCATCCTGGGGTGAAGATAGTGAAGTGGGTCTCAGAAATACTCCTTTTTCCTGTTGTGCAGATGGGGAAACTGAGGCCCATTGAAGCCCAGGAAACCATACAAGGGTACAGAAGGATTTTGGTGCCCTCTGGGTTGGCAGACTTTCTGTTGGGAGCTCTACAGAGAGAGCAAGCGGGGGTGGGGGGACAGGGAACCAAAGCAGCACCCCCAAACCAGCAGAGCATTAAAGCACCAACGCTTGCTGGGTGTTGCCTCCGTCCCCGCCACCTGCTTCAGATGTACACGAGAGAGGCCCAGGGACTGCAAGCAACTGGATCCCATCACCCAGCCAAGAGTGTCGGGGACAGGATGATAGGACAGGACGGGGTAGGGGGGCATCTTTTAAAGAGCAGCTTAGTGTATGAGGAGAAAAGAGGGGTCGACAGTAGTGATGTGGAAAATGGGGGCAGCCCCCCCCTCCCTGCAGTTCCTGAGCTTGCTCCACTGACCCTACACAGGATACTATTTGGCCACTGGCACCACCGCTTCACCAGAGTCCAGAGTGCTCTCTGCAGATGCTCAGCACTTAGAGAGAAAAGGACTCAGAATCTCAGGACAGAGGGGTATCCTTGTGGGGTATGGGGGCGGGGACTCAGCAGGACCAGAATGAGGAGGGAAACCGAGGCTGAACTCCAGAGAGGGAGCCCCATGTTGCTGCTGACTCCGGGGTCCGCCCACAGTTCCGGCTCTGTTTACACCCCACTTCTCTGTTCCCTCACGCTGTGAAGTTCTTTATCCTTTGCTGTTCCTGCTGGGTCCCTCCTCCTCTTCCCATGTGTCCCCTCCCCATCCTCCCCTACAAACTGCTCCACTGCCAGGCCCCCTGGGCCTGGCCGCCCCC